GTGGGTGGGCCTGCCTATCAAGTTTCATGCCCTGGGATATGATCTTGTTTCCTGGAAGGAATGAGTTAAGTAGTTTCCTACTGACCTTTTCATCAGATTTGCAGATAAATCTGTTCCCTTGAGTGAGTCTCTTTGTTTTATTTTGGGAAGACTCCAAACTTTTAAACTGCAGATAACTGCTCAGTGTCTGCTTTCATATCACGCTCAGACATGATCTGTTCAGCTACACAGCTTTTGATGTGAGCTGGGTAGGCAAGTAATTGAATCTTCCAGAAACCTACCAAGATTGCCATCCTCTGCTAATGTTACAGACTGAGCATTTCCTAACTTGTGATGACTTGAGTCTTAGTTCGCTAGTATTTAAAATTTGTGTTTTTTAAACAAGTACCAGGACTGGTGGCATGGCTCAGTGGCAGAGCACTTGCCAGCATGCATTGGCCTCTGGGTTCCATTCCCATTACCTAAAACAAAAGAAAGTAAAATACAATCAATAATGCTTATAAATGGCACAGAATAGTGTCACCTTGACCCTCAATCACTCAGTTCCCTCTGATGGAAGTTATTAATTCATTTCTTTTGTATCCTTCCAGAAAAGGTCTGTGTAAGCCTAGGGACCTAGCTCAGTAGTGCCGTCGCCTGCCTCGCAAATGCAAAGTCCTGAGTTCAATCCCCAGTACCAAAAAGTCTGCGTGTATACAATTGGATGTTAATTAAAAGTTAGATGTATGAAGAAGTCTTCATGAGAAAAATAGGTCACCTATATCTAATTAAACAGCTATGTAAGGTTGATTTATTGCCTAAACACCACAGTTACATCATAAACATGCACAAATAGAAAATCAAATATTCTTTGTCCATGAGAAACAATTGAATCAATCACATGCCAACTTATCTCTAGCAGTGGAGTAATTCATTCTAGATGTTTTGTTATTGTGTAGGCAAACATACTATCGGTAAGCTACACTCCCAGCCCCATGGGCAGCTGGTTCTATAACGATCTTCCAAAGGTCACACCTAATGCAATAGAGGCTTCCATCTTGCAAAGTAGTAAATATAACCTGTTTTATTGGGGGGGGGTTGGTATTCTCACTCCTTGCTCCTGGAGATAGGGGAGACAGTCATGGGAAGAGCAAGAACCTTGATGATGGACATGCAGTTGCCAGCTCTGTTCACTTACAACAGCTACCCTTTAGGCAAGTTACAAATATGAGCCTCTTCCTCATTTGTAAAATTGATGTAATAATATTGGGTGTTGTGAGCAGTCAATGAAACAGGTAATTCCAAATACCTAGTCCCGTGTCTGGCAGAAGCTGTCACTCAAGAAAAGGTCTCTGCACTTTCCAAGCTTTTTGGTCCTAAGATCTACTTGCACCTTTAAGAATTACTGAGGACTCAAGGAACTTACACTTATGTGGCTTATATAGCAATATTTGCTATATTAGACATTAAAACAGAATTTTGAAATATTTATTTAAATTCATTTAAAAATAGCAGTAGGGCTAAGGGAAGAGTTCAGGGGCAGAGTATATGTTTAGCATGCTTGAGACCCTGGGTTCCATCCCCAGCACAAATCATAACAAAATAAATAATAATAAATCATAAACATTTTAAAACAACTAAAAATTTTATGGAAAATAAGTCTTTTCCAAAACAAAGAAAGATATAGTAGGAAGACTGACATTGAGCTATATTTTTGCAAAATTCTTTGATATCTGGCTCAGAAGACCATGGATTCCCACAACACTTCTGTTCTTCATTGTCTGTGGCAATATGTTATTAGGATGAAACATGGAAAGAAAATTCAGATTCATCTGTACAAAAGGTCCTGCTAGGAGACTCTGGCTCCCCAGGGGTCCTCGGACCACACTGCCCAGAGTCACATTTATTTCCTGAAGACTTTAAGCATCTTGAGGGCAGAAAGTATTTGTTCATTCAGTAGGTTGCTGAATCATATAGTTCCTGGCCTTACCCATAGTTGTCATTTGGAAAGTATGATAAAATGTTTTTGGCAGACTGACTGATAGAGGGAGCTGTTGGCCAGTATTAGCTCACAAATCTAATACTAAAATAAAGGATTTTTCTTGTTTCTCAGAGGATGAAATAGACAAGATTCAGAAAGAATTGCTGTCTGAAAGAACCATGTCCCCTGTCTCCCCGATGTCTGATTCTTAAAGAGGCTGCCTAGAAAGGGAGGCTAAGGTTAGACCCTACCTCAGAGATCAATTTTAGACTAAATATTTGCATTTGTTTAAGAAATGGGGGCCAGGGATTTAGCTCAGTGGCACCTGCAGGTGCCTCACAAGTGCAAGGTTCTGAGTTTGATCTCTGGTACCAAAATACAAAACAAACAATCAAAAAAGAAATGGGAAAGAATTCACAATAGCGGAAAAGCAGAAGCAACCCAAATGTCCATGGATGGTTCGATGGATTTTTTAAAATGTAGTCTATACGTACAGTGGAGTACTATTCACCGTTACATAGGAAGGAAATTCTGCCTCATGCACAAGAAGGGTGAACCTTGAAGACATCATGCTAAGTGAAATAAGCCAGTCACAAAAGGATAAATGTTGTATGATTCCATTTACAGGCGGTACTGAAGGTAGTAACACTCATGAAGATAGAAAGCAGAATGATGGCTAACAGGGGCGAGGGAGAGGGGAAACAACATTTTTGTTGAATGGATATGAAAACCTTATAGAGATTATTTACAAAATACTATGAATACAATTAATTGTATGCCTAAAAGTGGCTAAGAAGGTAAATTTTATGCTACGTGTATATTACTGCAATTTAAATAAATACGAAAGGGGAAAGAAAGTAAGTGAATTATTTTTCTATTTGATTCTTGCATATCTCACCTGTTCTTAATGACATAGTTCAGCTGCACAATTGTTTACTGAGTATACTCTTTGTATAATGTGCTCTCAGAAACAAAGATCAGTTATGCAGTTGTTCTCAAGGAGTAGAGTTGGACAAGATACACGCACCAAGAGATGAGAAAAGAGGAAGAAATGCGTCTTGGAGAAGGCAGTACTTGGACTGGAACACAATTCTGCTAAGATTTTCAGGGAGCAGTATGAGCACAAAGAATACCAACTAGTTTCCTGCATTACTGGTCAGTTAAAGGCTTAGAACCATGTTTGAAAAGTTGGTATAGATGTTGAAGATTATTAGTTCAACTTTCCATGTTTAAGAACCCATTTTATTTGGTGTTTTTTGTTTCAGCCATTTTCTTCCTATTTCACACTATCAAGTAGGCCATTTGAACCTCATTTACACTTTTAGTTTTTCATACTAGAGAAACTATTCGGTATTTACTCAAGTATGTCCTACTTATTCACTTAAGAGTACAACCTCAATGTGCATCCACTTAGCTATAAATGTCGTTTTTTTTTTTTTTTTTTTTTTTTTTTTTTTTTTTTGGTACCTGGGATTGAACACGGGACCTTGCGCTTGCAAGGCAGGCAACAGAACCACTGAGCTAAATCCCTGGCCCTGGTTTCTCATTCTTTTTGGCTGAGTAGTACTCCATTTTATAGAATAACCACATCTTCTTTATCCAGTCTCCAGTTGATGGGCATTTGGGTTGTTTCCAAGTTTTAGCTGTTACAACTGTGCTGCTATAAACATGGGTGTACATATATCACAGTGATATGATTCTTTTCTTTTGGAAAGATACCCAGCTGAGGGATAGTTGGATCAAATGGGACCTCCAATCCTAGTTCTTTGAGGTATCTCCATATTGATTTCCACAGTGGTTGCACCAGTTGGCACTCCTGCCAACAATGGAGAAGGGTTCCTTTCTCCCTACAGCTCCAGCAGCCTTGTTATTGGTTGATTTCTTGATAGCCGCCATTCTTTCTGGGGTGAGGTGGAATCTCAGTGCTGTTTTTGTCTTTGTCTGAATCTCTCAAATGACCAGTGATGTTGAACATTTTTTCATCTATTCATTTGCTGTTTTTACTTCTTTGAGAAATATCTGCTCATTTCAGATCCCATTTTTGAATCAGGTCTTTATATTTGGGGAGTCTGATTTTTTTTTAGTTCTTTGTATGTTCTAGATAGAAGTCCTTTGTCTGAGGAGCAGCTGGTAAAAATTTTCCCTGAATTGTAGGTTGTCTCTTAGCTCTGTTGGTAGTTTCTCTTGCACTGCAAAAACTTTTTAATAGGGGCCAGCAATTTAGCTCAGTGGTGCTGCCTCCTGCTTTGCAAGTGCAAGGTCCTGAGTTTGATCCTGGTACCAAAAACAAAACAAAACAAAACAAAACAAAAAACCAACTTTTTAATACAATGAGATCCCAGTTGTTGATTCTTTGAGCAAGTTCCCATGCTGCTGAGGATTTGTTCATAAAGTCTTTTCCTATGCCAATGTCTTCAAGAGTTCTACCTAATTTATTTTCCAGTAAGTTTAGTGTTTCTGTTTTGATATTTAGATCTTTAATCCACTTAGATTTTAATTTAGTGCATGGTGAAAGACAGGGATCTAGTTTTAATCTTTGGCACACTGAAAGCCAGTTTTTCCAGCCACCATTTATCAAGAAGCTGTCTTTCCTCCAATGAGGACGGTTGGCTCCTTTGTCGAAGATGAGGTAGCTGAGAATGTCTGGTGTTTCTGCATCTTCTAATCTATTCCATTGATCCTAGGGTCTGTTTCTTAGTCATGCTGTTTTTATCACAGTGGCTTTGTAGTATAGCTTCAAGTTGGGAATTGTGATATCCCCTGCCATGCCTCTGTTGTCTAGAATGGCTTTTGCTATTCTAGGTAAAGGCTCTGCCTTTGAAAATCAGATCATTAGGGTATGGTGGCACCTGCCTCTAATTTCAGGATTAGGATTACAGGAGACTGGGGCAGGAGAATCATTGTGGGTTCAAGGCCAGCCTGGGCTACATAGTGAGTTCAAGGCCAGCCTGCAGTACATAGGAAGATTGCCCCCCCCCAAAAAAAGCAAAACAAAAAGCCCCAGATCATTAGTGGTTGAATCCTGGCCCTTACCACTTACCATGTGACTTTCGACAAGATCCTTAGCCTCATTCCTGGGCCTCAGTTTCTTCAACTGCAAGACTGTAGTGAGGAATTAAAAAGCAACTCGTATTAAAAACTCATTGTCCAGTGCCCTGTACACAGGAATTCAGAATAGTAACTTATTATGTTAAGCTTTCTGCATGTCTGTTACATAAAAAGTAAAGTTGTAAATAACTATACTTTGCCTAAAGCGCCTTATGTTCCTTTCCAACCATTGCTTGGGCCAGAGATTTAGCTCAGTGGCGCTGTGCCTGCCTCGCAAGAACAAGGTCCTGAGTTCAATCCCCGGTACCGCACAAAAAAAAAGAAAAAAGAAAGAAAATGTTGACCCGTATCTCTGGCCTAAGGTAGTAACCAAGCAACTGCTGCCCTGAGACAGGCCAAGTGAGGGCGGGACTCTAGGGCCCGAGGGGCGGGATCCAGGCGCGCGCAAGGGGTCACGTGAGGGCGTGAGAGGCGGGGCTTTGCCTGCGCTGGTCACGTGGCCCGGCGTTGACACTTCCGGGTGGGACCAAAGTGAGGCTTTTGGGTAGGGGCTGGCGGCTTCTGGGGCAGTCATGGCGTATCACGGCCTCACGGTGCCTTTGATCGTGATGAGCGTGTTCTGGGGCTTCGTCGGCTTCGTCGTGCCCTGGTTCATTCCTAAAGGTCCCAACCGGGGGTAAGTGCGCGAGGCCATCTCGGGTGGGACGCGCGGTGAGTGCCGGCTGGGCCGGGCTGGCCAGGGCGGGAGAGTGGGCGACCCCGCACACCTGGCACCGACCACCTATCTCCTTGAAGTCCCGTTTCCCCCCGTCATCACAGCAGCTTCAGTGTTCACGGCCCAAGTGTGAGTAGGGTCCCTTTCGGCGGATCCTCCTTGGAAATGAATTTAAGAGATTTTTTTTTTTTTTCTCATGGCCCTGGGTGGGAAGAGTGCCCTTGGAAAGGAGTTTACGAACTCCAGAAGTTGGGTTTCATTCCTCCCTGACTTCCGCCCTTTTAGCCTTGCCGTGAGGTCTTGTTGGATGAAACTTTAAAAGATCAGGTAAATAAAACAAAAGTTGCTCTCTCCGCCTCACCTGCTGTCTAGTTGCTTACAGAACAAGCTTGTTCGACATTGAGCCCAGGCTTCACATCTAGTGGGCGCCAGCTGGGGAATCTGAGCCTGATCTCATGTGAGATTAATTACTAGGCGAAAGAGGTATTGTTTAGAGTCCCCTGCGTCATATCTTTTCGGAGGATGCTCCCCTTCTAGTTCGTGAGTGTAACAAATGCTTAGAATGTTTGACTATGAAAGATTTGTCCCGCAGATTTTTTTTAAATAGAGCTTTATCTATTGGGGAAGTAAACTTTAAATATATAAAATAGAATTTAAAAAAAAATAAAATAGAATCTTCAAAGGAGTCTTGGGCACCCTCTTTCTGGTTCCTCTTGCTTTTTAATCATTTTTTTTCCCCTCAGCTCAAGATCATGAGGCAGTGAGACTTGAGATGATGTCACTGTTTTTCAGAGACACTCTTTTTTCATCCTTGAAACTAATTGGTAGCTTCACAGTGCCTCCTTTCACAGTACTTTGTGTGCAAGTAGGCCCCAAGTGTCTGTTGAGTGGGAAGTTCTGTTGCCTTGATTAAAGAAAGAAATTTTATTATCTCATTTGCTCTCTGCAGTAACTTGCTTTTTACTTGTTAGCCTAAAAATAAACCACACATTTTAAAAAAGGAAAAATGGTAGATGAATTTCTATCATTTGTAAATATCAGGTCTCCCTTTCCTGAGCAGCTATATAGATAGTGTCATATTGCCAGCTTGTATTAGTAGATTTAGATTTATTTTTAAAAGCAGAAAAACTATATTGCCCAGGTTGGTCTCCAACTAGAGATCTCAAGAAATCTGACCACCTCAACCTCCCAAGTAACTAGACATGTGCACTGCTACCAGAATTGTAGTGGATGTAGTGTCCGAATTTTAAGGTTATTGAAAGAATTTTCGTTAACCAAATGTAATTAGACTAAAGTTAGACCACAAAATGTGTCTTTGTTATGTTTTTATCTCTGGTGGTTTCATTACTGCTTTTCTGGCCTTCATCCTCAGAAAAGCATTTATTAATGTGCTGGCAGTAGTGACCACCCCACCCCCCTTTTTGGTGCTGGGGATGGAACCAAGGGCTTGTGCTCCACTCACTCTACCACTGAATCATCACAACCCCTGCCCCACCACTTCTTTCTTAAAGACTGTGCTCTCCTCACTTTGGGATCTGATGCTGCTCCTATTATCCAGGTAAATAAAACCCCTCCTATGTCTATTCAGTTTCTAGCCCTAGTGTAATGATTCTGGTATTTGACCTGCTAGTGATATGTGATCTGGGTCCAATTCAGAGCCTCCACCACAGTCCTTGTATTTCCTGTTCTTGGCAGGATTGGGCAGGCCTTGAAACAGTACCTGCTGGGAGTTACAGGATTACATTTTGAGAAACACTGGTTCTAGGTAGATGATCTCTGTGACCTTGGACAATTTAGTTAACTTTTCTGTGTTTCCATGTCCTCATTGTAAAATAAAAATGTTAGTACTAATTCTCTTTTACCTTTGCAAATCAAAAACAATTTTTTGAAATACGTGAAGGAAATAGGGGATGAAGGGAGGGCAGGGGTAAGGGGAAAAACAAGAACCAAGATATATCATGTAAAGGTACAAGAGTGCAGTAATAAGTGTAACTGTATTGTTTGTTTTAACTGTACCAATAAGCTTAATGAAAACAAAAATACATGAAGGAGCTGAACTGCTTCATGGACTATGGTGAGTTTTAATATAGAGAAAAGAGAGGCTGGAGATTTAGCTTGATGGTGCCACCACCTGCCTCACAAGCACAAGGACCTGAGTTCAATACCTGGTACCCCCCCAAAAATATAAATATGTATATGTATATAAAAGGTATGTCTGATTTGAGGGATTATAATTCTTCATTAAGAAAGTAGTAAAGGAACTATGTAAGAAGGGAGAAAGGCACTTTCCATATAAATGAACATGAGTTATGAGATTACTAATTTTAGTGCAGTTATCTATATGGTTATCCAGAAATAGCAATTAAGATGTTTCTGTTTTGAGCAGTATAACTATTTGAGCTCATATTTTTACAATCCTGATTGAGAATTTAAGGGTATGCTAATTTTTACCAAAACTGAATCCGATAATTTTAAGTAAAGCAACTGGATTTGGAGTGTTTACTTATTAGTTGAAAAGAAATTGGGGCATTTAGAAACTTGTCAGTACATTGGAAAATGTGAGAAGAGCTTTTTGTTTAAAATGTGTAGTTAATGAATTGAATTTTAAGAATTGTTTCCCAAAATTTGGGTCTGTGATAGCCTATTGATTTTTAAATCAGTAGTTTAAAAAGTCTAGTTTAAAAAGTACTTGAAAATACTGTTTCTTCATGTTTTGTTACTTCCTGTCCTATGACAGTTGTATGCTAAATGTATTTTAAAATAAAAGCCAAATTCAGGATTGAAGAGTAGAAAAAAAAAAAAAAGAAAGGAAGAAGGGCAAAAAGGACTTTGATGTTGCATCCTCTTCCCTGAGAGACTTCTGCATACCACACTGTGGAATTGGGTGATTAGGAGGCAAAGGGCCTGAAAAGGCAGGGAGAACGCAAAGGGAAAAGTTTCTTCAGGGTCTACTGCTAGCTGAAAGCAAACTGCTCTTTCAGTTCTTTCTGCAGCTGAAAAGGGATGCAATGGAATCAAGCCTGTGCCAGTAGGCAGCCTTCCTGACATTCCTATTCTTCACACTTTCTTTTTTCAGGAACCCATAGATTCTATAAAAGCTTCAAGTTTTTTCACAGAGGCTCCCTTACCAGGTTTAGAGGAAGAGATGAGGAATGAGCTCAGGGATTAATGTGCCAAGAATTCAGTCATCTGCAATCTTTTCAACATTTTTCAGGTGTACATAAAAGTAGGAAAAACAAAAGGAGTGCCATCTACCCCCACCTAGATTCAAGAACATATTCATATTTGCCTTATCTGTATATACAAATGAATATATATATAGATACCTTTTTCAATTTTTGCTGAATCATTTGTAAATTGTAGGATTTGTGATTATTTTTGGTGTTTTGTTTTGGTACTGGAGATCGAACTTGGGACCTTGTGCTGTCAAGGCAGGTGGCAGCACCACTGAGCTAAATCCCCAGCCCTCTTTTTGGTTTTTGAGATAGGGTCTCACTGTGTAGTTCAGGCTGGCCTCAAACATGGAGTGATCCACCTGCCCCAGCCTCCTGAGTACTGGGATATGCTACCATGCGTATGCTACTATGCCTGACTTGTCTTTGTGACTCTTAACTTCTGAATACTTCAGCATGCAGCCCCTAAGAAGAAGCACATTTGAGCCAGGCATGGTGAACCATGCCTGTAATCTTAGCATTCTGGGAGGCTGAGCCAGGAGGATCACAAGTTCAGCTTGGGCAACTTAGTGACTTCTCAAGACCCTGTGTCAAAATTTTTAAAAAGAGGCCAGGGATTTAGCTCAGTGGTTCTGCCACCTGCCTTGAAAGTACAAGGTCCTGAGTTTGATCTCCAGTACCAAAAAAATTTAAAAGGCCTATGAATGTAGCTCTGGAGCAGCAATAGCACATTCAGAACTAATATGAGGGAGATTTTTATATGAAATTATTAATACCAGCAGGTCATACCGAAGAGTCTTACCTGTCTCAACTCTCTGAGATGATCTTTTGGGAAGAGAGGATGGGAAAGGGATTTTAGGCTGAACAGCAGCTTGAAATTAAGACTCATAAATAGTTCATTCCCCAGTACTGAAAAACAAAACAAAAACAACAAAAAAGACCCTCATAAACATGCCTTCGGGTATAAAGGGTTGAAGGTAGAGGAGGTGAGAATGAGTGGAGAGCTTTGATTATAGGTGAGTAGCTGGACTTGATTCTGTAGTCTTCACTTTCATTGTGCAGTTAAGCCTTTTAGTACAAACCCTCAAGATACTTATGTATTATAAGTGTAATATATAAATTATTAATTTCAAATAATCTTCCTTCAAACTATACTATCTAGAGTTTGATCAACTGTTGCCAGCCTTAGCCACTCGGATTATTGCTGTTCACCATAACTGATTTTCTTTTCCCTTTGCCCCTTTTCTCCCCAATTCTTTCAACCCACCTGAGCAACATATTACAACTTGAGTCTGATATCGTCTGTCCTTTTCTCAGACTTTTTGCAGGATATATGATACCTCTTTAACCGCTCTTCTGATTAGGCTGTCCTTGCTTTTCTTCAGCCACTTAGCCTCCTTCCTTGAAACCCCAAGGACCTTTGCACCTCCCATCTTTGTGTTTGCTGTATTCTCCCAAACTGGGCCCTCACTTTCCTTCTGTGGGTGTGCACTCAAATTCCACCCCCTCTCCAAGG